TTATTTGGAAAACAGAAAGAAAAAATCCTGAATTAAGTCCTAATTAAATTATTAGGCATTTGCACAAATCCATGAGATGTGGATCCAACAGGAAAAACACTAAGAATGGTTAATAATTTCAGCAAAGACTTGATTCCTATATATCCTCCATTGAAGGAAAATAAAAGATATCACAACATAATAATTATTGATGACATTCCTTATTTTGCTTGTAATTTTCCAATTTATTTTCTTCACCTAAACAACAAACATAAGCTCCAATTTCCTCTCCACCATCACATTCTTTTCCATCAATGTTAAAACATTAACTTTGTCAAAAAAGTTCTAGATAACAGTAAAAAACAGAATGTCTCTTTTCCTATGTCTCATCTTAGCAATTATAATCAGAATACCTTTGTAACAACTCTCAAACCTGAGATTTTTCCCTTTTTCTCAAATCAGAAAAAAATTCCTATACAAATCCTTGACTAACAAAATTCAGCAAGATGCCAATCTACTAACTTATACAGCAAATTATACTACTTCTTCTTAAACAATGCATATAATTGCTGTCTACTCTCTGACATTGTATGTAATTACTTACTGGTATTTAGGTTGATGAAAGTATCCTTCAGTTAAAATTATAAATTCTTAAGATAGGGTAGAATTATTCCCTAACCATAATTCTTTTAGTGCAAGCAAGAAAGGTATTTCCAAAAGAAAGATATTTCCAAAGTTTTTACCAAACTTAGAAAATCAACAAGAAAAAATTTTGCGCTTTCAAACCACTCCAGATTAACTAACTTATCTCACTGAATTATTACAAGTTCAGTAGCAATCAATGCATTAAAGTACCAAGTACTCTTAACATACTAAATTTCATGTAATAATTTGAAATTTTCAGTTATTCTGGGAAGTCAAAAACTCAGTAATTTTACTTACTTCAGAAGGTATTTTCATCACAAATTACAGAATAAAACAGGTTGAAACAAAATTAATTTTCCTAATTTTGCTACACTGAACGAAGTGTTACAAATTAGCCTTTGGTTGGTACTAATGAAACTAAGGCTTAAAATTTCACTGCCATAGACTTTTAAGATGTTATACTAAATAGCACCATGGGTGTTACTTTCCTAATTTTTTCAACTACAACTCCAGGTAAAAACAAAAAAGTTCATGGCAGGTCTCAAAGGAATGATTTACGTTGAAAATAACTGACTTTCAAATAACAGTATATGAAAATATCATTAAACTGAAATTTTATGGTCAGCTAACAATTCAGGTTACAGGTTGAATAAATTTTCTGTCCAAAAACTAGTTTTCAATTATCTCTCCACAAAGTGCATGTGCCTTGTAGATTTAAAGACAGATCGACATTTAAGCTTTTAGATTTGGGTATAAAATTAGTACCAATTTATAAACTCCATCAAATTTTTGCTTTTTACAAGTAGAAACTTTTGGGCAGAGAATGGGAAAGAAACAATTCAAGTATTATCATAAACCAATGCAAGATAAAACAGTTACAGTATCTACATAAATAACAGTTTTCATGTTGAATTGTGTATCTGCCACCCTTTCGAATATAAGCAAAATAGGACTCAATACTCAAAAAGAAAATCTGTCTTTTAGGAAAGGAGATGGATGTGCTACTGTATAGTACATGATTACTATTTTGAAGAAATTGAAAGATATGAACGATGTATTAAAACTGACTATGCTATAAAAGAGTATCTCTAATTAAATGTGTCACCAAAATTTAAGCTTCTACAACATTCTGGACATTGAGAGATGAGACTAGAAAAAAGGGTTTGACACTAGAATTCTGTCTTTATCATTTATACAGTTCTTTAACAATTAAAAAAGAGACAAACGAGAAAGTAAAACAATAGAAAACGTTGTTGCCAGTATTTTCAAATAGAAAAGAAAAAGATGGAACATGACTAAGGGAGCTGATAACAATTCAATCACTTGAATGTTGCAATTAAAATTTTAGACAAGAAAGAAGCAAAAGTATTATAACTGGCTTTTAATGTATAGCACTGACCACTGCAACATTAACATAAACTAAACAAGAATCAGATTAAAAACTAACCAGCACTTTAAAAACTAGCTACCTATATGGAAATAAAGCGGTACCCAATAGTGCATACAAGTCATACCTAGCAGTTTCTTATTGTGTTTGAAACAGTGACTACCTGCCTATTAAGGTCAAGTTTCAAACAAACAGGAATTTCCCTGAAGGAACTGATGATATATATATAGTGGTCTGCATAGCAAATATAAGCTATTTCCACTAAAAATATACTGACTAATCCTAATGCAAAGGGCAGGGCTGTGGATAACAGGAATAGACTTTATCTTCTGAACATGTGAGTGTCCAACACTGTTTAGAACACCTAAAGCCAAATAATAAAACTTTAATGTAAATATCCAAAGTGGAGAAAGGAGTTAAGAAAGACGCAGGTTTTGGAATGGACTTACAGATTATCCCATCTTAAATCCTTTTCTCCCATTTTTGAAATCTCTCTGAGAAAAGTCAGAGTAGGGGAAAATTAACTGCTGCTCATTTATTTAAAATACTGGCTCAAACTTACTTTCAAATTTACCCATATCATTTGGTAGGTAGAGAAACAGTAAAAATGTGTTTTGTGATAAACTCATCTACACTTAAATTATCTCTTATTAGGAAGCTCCCAGACCAGAGATGTCAAATCTCTTGTACCTGTGTTACTTTCCCCTTGGGTTATGGACTCCTGCCCAGCACAGGCCACCATCAAGAGAACACAGAAATGGCAACAGCATGACACCTATAATTTGCCATCTTACCTTTTTCTCTGTGCCTCAAAAGACTGTTAGCTCCAATTTATTAGAGTACTTTTTGGTCTCTTCATTAATTAATTGAGTCCTGGATCTACTGGAATAACCAAGTAACCCCAGGGTTCTATAGTGTTTTGATAAGTCTAGCTGTTTACAAGATATATATAAAAAAATTAAGTCTCCATAATAAGGCAAAATGGCCTTTTTGAGTTAAAATGTGAAAATATAACTGTGAATGTACAGAAATACTCTGAAATAAATCTTTGTATATGCCTGGAAAATGAGATGAAAGATTATAATCTTTATTAAGATATATAATCAACTAAGCACCTATAGCATAAAGCTTTATTAATACAAACTTATGAAAACTGCTACTGTACACTTTGTAACTTGGGGAATAGAACATAGCACCATGGAACTCTTTCTGACAATATTCCTCCTTAGGTCCATACAGTTCATGATGTTAGTTCTGAACCTCCAAATCTTCCCCATTTTCTAGCAACCACCCTGAGTCTACAGAGAGTGGATGACGGAGAAAGCCCCTCCTCCAGCAGTGAGAGCAGTAGTACCTAGGAAACAGGACAGAGGCTCCAGCAGATGAGGGAGGAGGAGGGAGAAGACTGTCAAACTGGCAGTGAATCAAGGCACTGTGTCTAAGGAGAGCCAAGTGTAGCATTTAATCTGAACACTCCCTATTTTCTGTAGGCCCAGAGTTGAAGTGAATGACAGTGGAACGTCTAGACAAAAAAACTAACATAAAAACCTATAATATAAAAACTTCTAAATAAACAAATTTTAGGAACTCAAGAACCTCACTATATGCTTTAGAAGAATTTCATTTAGAGATCATCCAATGTACTTTTAAGTTACTGACATTTAAAAATCTTGTAAGAAAGTTAAGATTAATTACAGTAATCACCATGTTGTAGGTCACTAAGGAAAATGCTGCCAACAATGTGGACCCAATAGATAAAGAAAAAAATAAAACGTAAAAAACGATGTAATTTCTGCTCTAGTTTATGTCAGAATAACAGCTAAATATTTAAAAATTGACAGGAAATAATGAAATAGAAAGTAATAGAAAATAAAACACAGGCCAGCTATGGGCGGTGGCTCACGCCTATAATCCCAGCACTTTTGGAGGCTGAGGCGGGCGGATCACCTGAGGTAGGGAGTTCGAGCCCAGCCTGACCAACATGGAAAAACCTCATCTCTATTAAAAAATATAAAATTAGATGGGCATAGTAGCTCATGCCTCCCATCTCAGCTACTCGGCAGGCTGAGGCAGGAAAACTGCTTGAACCTGGGAGGTAGTGGTTGCAGTGAGATGAGATCGTGCCATTGCACTCCAGCTTGGGCAACAAGGATGAATCTCCATCTCAAAAAAAATAAATAATAAAAATAAAAAAACACAGACCAAAAGGTATTTTAAACACTCAAATTCTTTAAAGAAAAATATAGTGTAATTTACAGTAAAGATCTAGTGTCACAATTAAAGTGATAATTTAAGTTGAAATTTATTTTTAATTAATTCTTCCCCATACTCCATTGCTTATATTCCACATCCCTCCCAAGGAGCAAACTTATATATAAATAATAAAATTTAATTTCACCTCAATCATTTGTCAGTTACAAACATTTAATGGTAGACCCAGGATACCTTCTAATAAAATAATCTGAACAGCAGAAAAGATAACCATAATTTTAGATAACAATAAATAAGACATATAAGCACTAGCAACTGCAGGAAGAGGTTTATATGGCTATAAATAAAAACTGCTTTGAACTTTAAAATGTAAAAGCTATATTAAATGGTCAAATATGATTTAACCCATTCTCTTGTTTCAGTCCCCAGAGCTAAGTCAATCACACTGAAACAGACAACCCTAGTAACGATAAAGGGCAGTAACAGCACAATCAGACACACCCACTCAAAATAAGCAATTTAGGGAGGATCCAAGATGGCCGAACATGAACAGCACCGGAGTGCAGTTCCCAGCAAGAACAGCACAGAGGGTGAGTGCTCACTCCATTTCCAAACAAGTTTTCACTGCCCACAGACCAGGAGATTCCAGGCTGAAAAGCACCAAGAGTTTTTAGTGTGGCGGTTTCAGCCGGTGCCGGGTTGGCACACACAATCT